TCTCTTTCAAGTCCAAATAATAATAATAATAATAATAATCTAAAAGTCCATATGCCTCAACTTTAACTGATTTGTCATTGCTCACATAGATGAATCTTTCAATATCATTTGACTTTCGATTGTTTTCAGGGTACTAGCCAAATGAGCACTTTCAGTCATGTCTTGCTTGAGCTTTTCTTCTTCTTGCACACAGTATGAAATGAGCTCATTTAAAGTCCACTTCTTCTTTTGATAGTTGTAACTGACCTTGAGTTGATTGTGTTGTGTAGAAAGAGAAATCAAAATCAAAATCAAATGCACGAGTAAATCTTCAAACAGCTCAAGCTTTAATGCTTCCAGTTTTGAAGTAATATGAGATATCTTCATGATGTACTCCCGAATATTTCATTTACCTTCATACTTGAGTGAAACAAAGTTTACCAGAAACATACTAATTTTGGTCTTATTATTTTTTGCAAAGTGTTTTTCAATTTTATCAAGAAATGCATTGGCAATATTTACCTTATCGGACATAGTACCTCCAAAGTGATTCTAGAATACCTTATGTCATGGTCATAAGACTCGTGCAGTTTGAATGATCCCACTTATCAAAGTCCCATTTTCATTAGCGAAACTTCTATTTGTAAGTAGAGCAAGTTGTTCAGTCCTTAACACACGGTCTAAGTTTATGCAGTCAAGGACGATCTGAACATTTTCTTTTCAATCCTTAAAATTGGTTCCATTTAGCACAAGAATTGAATTAATGTTGGCAAATATTGTAGAAGCAGAAAAGTTAACTGAATAGAGAACAAAATCAAAGAAACATGTTCGCATTAGAATCCGTATTAAACAATTAATAAATTCAAATAATGGTAAACCCCCATTATAAGATATCGAGTACAACGTGATATTTAGTTTTTGAATAGAAATACTAACTTGTAAGTGGTACTCTTGGTGTAGAAATCAAATATTAATAATAAACTACGTCAAATAATAAACCTATCTTTGGACCAATTTATTGTTCATATAAAAAAATTTATAATTGTCACATATTTATCACCACAAGTGTATATGTAATTCTACCAAATATTTATCTTTCTTTGGACCGGTGAATATCCGCATGTATTACAAACACACAACATTCCTAATATTTCAAATAAATTAATCTAAACAAGAGAGCTTACTTTGATAACATGCTGCTTTAATTAATTTAGTTTAGAAAATTAATTATCCTAAAAGAAACTTTAATACCACAATTTGAATTTTAATTGTTGAAACCTTATTCTTTTATTTTTATTTTCTTGTTTTGTTTTAATAACTAAAAAAATTGGGCTCTGTGGCACTGCTTCAAGATATAAAAAATTTCTTAAACTCGAAATTTAGACATTTAGTGTTTGAAATTCACATCCAAAAAAAATTTATATAACATTAAGGTATGAATTTCAACCCTTAAATCTTCTGTTAATCTCAATGGTTTAACATGAATTGACTCTGATCCCACTTGTTAGATATTTATGAAATTTAAATTTATAAACTTTACATAATTATTAGGATCTCCATATATCTTGACTGTTGAATTTTGAATTATGATATTTGAATCATGTCTTTTGGATCTTTAATCTTGATTCTTGATTATGAATTCTTAAATTTTTGAATTTTTTTTACTTGATTTTTGGATTCCTTTATGTGGGTTTTAGATTTTTCTCTTAAATATAATTTCTCTTTTAATTCTTGTGTTGATGAGATGGCACAAAAATGAGAAATTGCATATGAATGGGGGACCATAATCTTATATATAGTTTTCATCTGTATTTTCGCACATCATGAAATACAATTCTTAAAAAATCTGGTCTCTACACATATAACTTGATCACACTTTATTTAGATGCACAAAGTCTATTACTTAATTATTTATTAGATCACTTTAATTTTAGGCTTAACTTTAAGATAGCTATTATACACAATTAATTACATATGTCGGCCCAAATTGCATATTAAATAACTTCCCAACAGTTCTGGCCCAAAAAGAGTAATTGAGATTATCATGTTCTTTAGCGTAGGGTTATGGTGGTAAGATCGTACACAAAATGAATACATCAGTGGCCTCGATACATCCATGTTTGAGACTCGAAGACATTGCTTAGAATGCTCGAGGTTTATTGATGAGATGTAGATTGATTGGGGTGAATATAGATTGCTTGAGGTCGAGGTAAAGGTTGTTCGACTTTGAGGAAAAGGTTGTTCAATGCTAATGTAAAGGTTGCTTTAGTTCAAGGTAAAAACCAAGGGCCTTGGGGTTTGAGCTACGTACGAGGTGCTCAAAGACCTCTCATGTATATAGTGTTCAACCTAAGCAGGAGTAATGTGTTTGATGACCTAGAGGCCATATGAGGACATGTGGCATACATAAATGGAAAATGATGTTAAGGATGGCCTCAAGGGTTCCAACAAGCCCCCAAGTCCCTAATTTAGGTTGTATTTCAAGCCTTTTTTTGTAATATAAAAATGGCTATGTAAAAAATTTTAAGTTTACAAATGACATATTTAGCCCTACCATGTAGTTTTTTTTATGTATTTAAATGATTGTTTTGACGCACACAATGAAACGACCTTGACTTTATACAATTAACAATCCTCAATGCTAAGTAAACTACCAATCCCAAGGCAATCATTTATCATGAATCTCGATGCATAAGTTCTTCGTAGTCGAGGGTCATGTGAGATTGGCAAAATGACTTGTGCAATTGTATATTTTGTTTAATCAAGTATTCTACTCGATAAAGGTATCTTCAATCCTGTCTTCAGGAAAGATGGTTGATTGAGCTCATGCTGCCTCTTGTGTTCGCTTCTTAGTGGTCAAGCCCCATTTTTTTGGATAATGTTCTCTTTCATATAGATATAATTCTCACCCTTCGTGAGGGAATCAATTACGAACTTTAGTAGGGTTTTGACAAAGACATTTTAAATGATTCATATTTTATGGCATGTACGAGAGCGAAGATAGTAGCTGTGATATGTAGGTTGGGAACTGAGGCCTTTCTGTGTTTAATTGTGCCATGAAATCAATAAGGCTTCTTTTGTCCCTAGTGGAGCTATATGAGGGTGGTCGTTGTCTTCTTGATGTGCTTGCTACTAGCGAAGAGGCAGAGAACTTGTTTGTTAAATCTGATAATGTATGGATAGAAAAGCCTTGCACATTACTAGATCTAGGGAGACCTGTAGATACATGATTTTGGTTTATACATTAATTTGATTGATAATATTAGTGGTTCCAATATACTCTTTTATTCAAGGATAGAACCTATCCAACACCGGATATGATAGAATCTTGGGAGTGAAAGGAATGTTCAGCATAAAAGCTATTGAGTCATGGGTTCTTTGACGTAGGCCAGTAGTTATTCAATCTTAGATGATTCTAGTAAGTTCCATGGGGGTCAAGGTGATTGACCATAGGGTCGACGTCAAAGGAAAATCTAAAGTACACCCAAAGACTCCGCACTGCCATTATTAAAAAACGAGACGAGAAGATCAAGGTCGAGCTCCGATTATGTCATTGACCTTGGTTGTCAACACTAGAGACAGGTTCTATTAGCCCAACAGTTGAGTCAAAATAGCAACTTGCTAGCGAAGCTCTTCAAATGTCCCTGGGGCAACAACTGTAGGTTCAAGTGCTGGAAGAGGTCTTGAAAGTATATTAACCATGGCTTGCTTCCAACAGACAACATCAATGATGATACCAAACATTGAATCCCCAAGCTTGATGATAAAGAATGAGCACGAATAGAACTTTCGTAACTTAAGCCCTATAATAAGCTTGAGTACAAACATAACTTTAGTAATCAAAGCTCGATGACAAAGTTTGAGCTATGGATACAGAGTTTAAGTATAAACAAAACTTTTGTAACCCAAGCCCGATGATAAAGTTTGAGCACGAACAGAACTTTTGTAACTCGAGCTCGATGACAAAGCTTGAGCTGTGGATACCCAAGTTTGATGACAAAGTTTAAGCACGAATGAGATTTCTAGATTCTTAAACAAAGGCGTACAGGTATACTCTCGTCGTCCTTCCGATACTTAAGTTAGTGAAATGGGAAAAATATGTGCTTGAGGCTATGAATTGAACTGAATAAATAATGAATTGGGGACTTGTATTTATAGATTTGGACACTGCAATCTTGATAGAATTGGGTTACTTGGATGCCTTATCTGTTTAAGAGTCTTGAAGGAATGCTAGATATTATTGTAAGCTGTAGAATTATTGTAGTTGAGTCTTTCTACATTAGAAAACTTAAGAAACAAAAAAAAAAAAAAAATGAGGGACGCAAGATGTCCAAGGACCTCAAGCTTGAGCACTAAACCCGAGCTCGATGACAAAGCTCGAGCCATGGATACCCTAGTTTGATGACAAAGTTTGAGCATGAACGAGGCTTCAAAATCCTTAAATAAGGGCGTCAAGGTATATTTTCGTCATCCCTTCAATGCTTAAGTTAGCTAAATGGGAAAATAAGTGTTTAAGACTATATATTGGACTAAATGTAAAGCGTACCTGAATAATGAATAAATTTGGACAACGTAATCTTGGTAGGATTGCGTTATTTGGATGCCTTATCTATTTAAGAGTTCAGAAGGAAGTGAGAGACCTATGAAAGTTGGACATTATAATTTCGTTTAAACTGTAAAATTATTGTAGTTGGATAACACTAAAATTGTGGTAGTTGAATCTTTCTAGGTTAGGAAATTTGAGAGATGGAAAAAGATAACGAGTGACGTGAGATATTCAAGAACTTCAAGCTCGAGCACTAAACTCAATCATATGACTTCGAGAATGTTCTAGAGTGCTCAAAATTATCATCATTTCGAGCCCAAGATTGTGGGTAATTGGGTCGTACATAAATTGTCCGCATCAAATTCAATTATTCAAAATACTTCAACCACCTTTTACAAACTCAGGATCAAAAATCATAGGGATAAATCTGACATTTAACACGCGTCAGTCCAATCCAGGCGTTCCATAGCCGAGCCAAATTCGTTTCGTTTAAACTATGAAACCGCTTTAGCAGAGCACACCCACTCACCAGCGCCCCAGCTCCCCCCCCCCTCTCTCTCTCTCTCACACACACACACACACACACACACACACACTCACTCAGGCATTTACATTTGTCTTCCCACACTCTGTTGTTCACAATTTTCCTCCTTGAAAATTAAAGAAACCTTTGGATCCGCCATTACTGAGGTAAAGCTCCACCGTTCAAAGTCCGAAGCTCTGGCCGCCGCTGCTGCGTGTCTTTTCCGAGTAAGTCGTTTGGCGCATCTCCACGTGATTTTTTTGTTTTTATTTGAATTTCCGTCCTGATGCAACCTGAGAGAGGAAAAAATGGATCAACATAATTTTTTTAATTCTTTTAATTTTTGAATTTTGACACTCCCATGCATAATGGAAAATTTCTTGAAGAGCGTGGTTTTTTTTGGATGATCGAATTCATGGTTAATTCCTTTTTAAAAAATCGTTTCAGATTTTTTTGTGTACATGCATGGTGGTTTTGATTCTGTGTTATTTATTAATTGTATTGTAATGTTTAATGAATGTGCTATAATAAATTACTAGATCTCAGAATGGATAAAAGTGATGTAGAGATGGACGAAGTCAAACAGCGTATCCAAGTTACAGTGAATAATGAACTCGAGACGGAGAATAAACTTCCTGATGCAAAAGTTGATTGCAGAGAAGGAGAATTTCTTACTAAAGCTGTCATGGATGATGTAAATGCTGGTGCAAACGTGTCAGAGGACCTAAAGTTTACTGAAGGCGAGGCAAAAGATGATAAGAATGAGGCTGAACATCAAATCAACATAAGCAGCGAGACCAAGGACCCAATCAAGGGTAAGAGTGAGGCTGTGGACCCAATCGAGAGTGAGAGTGAACATAATATTTTTGGTAGTGGAGTGGAAGAAGAAAAAAACTCAATGGTGAACGGCATAGAGGTTGCCAGTCCGGTTGAAAACATGATTGAGGAAGACAAAGTTAATGGAGATGTTGCAAAGGAGAAAATCTCCAATGAGAATAGCAGAAGGGATGGAAATCCTGTTGAAAATGTTGGAGTGGAAGAAAAACCAAGAGAAAATGCTGCCACGGAGGAAACATCTATCAAAGTAAACCAACTTCCAACGGAACTATCTGCCAATGAGGCTTCTCAAAATGAGGTCAATTTGGTAGATGACACGCCCAACTCCCTTGTTAAATGTTTACCTTCAAAGGCTGTAGACCATGGGCGGGAAATGTTTAAGACCATTTTTAGTCAAGCAAAGGTACTTTTGTTATTTATAACAGAAGTGAGAAAAGTTACACAGTTCAATTATAATTCAAGGGTAGACGTGAAGTGGCTATTACTGTTTCAAATTGTTCATCTATTTTTTATTTATTTTATTATTTTGAGTTTTAGATGGCTGAAGGTGATGATGGAACGCCTGAAGATCAAAAAATGTTCATGAAGGCACTGGAAAATTTCCACAGGGAGAAGGGGATGGATTTTAAACCACCCAAATTTTACGGGCACCCACTAAATTGCCTGAAGTGAGTTTGGATTTGATTTTGTTATGAGGCATGCTTGGGTAAAGACTAATTTCTTAACTTTGTGGGTTGCTAGGTTATGGAGAGCCGTGATTCAATTGGGTGGCTATGATCGGGTATGCAGTGCCCTCTATTTTATTTCTTAAATTTCTTTATTATATGCTGCCATTTTTAATTCTGGGCATTGCATAAAAGATTTGATGCTGACGCATATAGAAGTAAGGTTATTTGTAAAAATTTTAGATAGATATAAGGACAATGTTTTTTTTATTTCATAAGCAAGTTGCATGATGATATAAAACTCGTATCTCATGAGACTTAGAAAGTATTTAAGATTAATAAAAGTTGGATGTATGCAGGTTAACTTCCAAATAAGAAAATGTAACAAGTTGTATAAAGTCCTAAAAAACTGTATGCTACTTTCAAATCCTTCCCTTTTTTATATCCCAGGCTTTCATTATCTTTTTTACACGCTATTATAAAGAACAAAACTTATTGCTTAAACAATTTTCTTATGTGCTTTTATCATTTAATTTTTGTTTGCACAATGGAGTGTAAAGTTTTATGTCTAGCATGTAATATGGCATACATTGTTTTCCTTTTTCCCTTTTCATTTTACATCGAAAAGCATGTGAAAATGTTATGATACCATGTCCATGTGTTATTATCATACATGAAAGCTGTAGAGAAATAATTAGCAGGAGAATCTAAGCATCAGAGGGACTATTTTCGCACATCATGAAATACAATTCTTAAAAAATCTGGTCTCTACACATATAACTTGATCACACTTTATTTAGATGCACAAAGTCTATTACTTAATTATTTATTAGATCACTTTAATTTTAGGCTTAACTTTAAGATAGCTATTACACACAATTAATTACATATGTCGGCCCAAATGGCATATTAAATAACTTCCCAACAGTTCTGGCCCAAAAAGAGTAATTGAGATTATCATGTTCTTTAGCGTAGGGTTATGGTGGTAAGATCGTACACAAAATGTATACATCAGTGGCCTCGATACATCCATTTTGAGACTCGAAGACATTGCTTAGAATGCTCGAGGTTTATTGATGAGATGTAGATTGATTGGGGTGAATATAGATTGCTTGAGGTCGAGGTAAAGGTTGTTCGAGTTTGAGGAAAAGGTTGTTCAATGCTAATGTAAAGGTTGCTTTGGTTCAAGGTAAAAACCAAGGGCCTTGGGGTTTGAGCTACGTACGAGGTGCTCAAAGACCTCTCATGTATATAGTGTTCAACCTGAGCAGGAGTAATGTGTTTGATGACCTAGAGGCCATATGAGGACATGTGGCATACATAAATGGAAAATGATGTTAAGGATGGCCTCAAGGGTTCCAACAAGCCCCCAAGTCCCTAATTTAGGTTGTATTTCAAGCCTTTTTTTGTAATATAAAAATGGCTATGTAAAAAATTTTAAGTTTACAAATGACATATTTAGCCCTACCATGTAGTTTTTTTTATGTATTTAAATGATTGTTTTGACGCACACAATGAAACGACCTTGACTTTATACAATTAACAATCCTCAATGCTAAGTAAACTACCAATCCCAAGGCAATCATTTATCATGAATCTCGATGCATAAGTTCTTCGTAGTCGAGGGTCATGTGAGATTGGCAAAATGACTTGTGCAATTGTATATTTTGTTTAATCAAGTATTCTACTCGATAAAGGTATCTTTAATACTGTGTTCGGGATGGTTAAGGTATGCTTGCATAGAGTAAGAATTTGTTTACACAGGGTACAACTTGAAGTGTTTATGCAGGACAAGGCTTTGAGTGCTTACATGGGGTTAGACTCAAGGTGCTTGTGCGGGGCATGCTTGCACAGTAGTGATTGAGGTACTTGTATGGAGCAAGGCTTTGGAGTACTTGCGCAAGACAAGGCTTGAAGTGTTTGCGTGAGGCAAGGTTTGAGTGCTTACATGGAGAAAGGCCTGAGGTACTTGTATAAGGCAAGACTTAATGTGCTTGCAAGGGACAGAGCTTGAGATGCTTGCGCAAAGAATGGCTTTGAGTGCTTGAGCGAGGCATGTCTTGAGGTGTTTGCACAAGATATGACTTTGAGTGTTTGTAAAGGCAATGTAACGACCCAAATTTTGTAATTTAAATTGCTACCAAATTGTAACGACACAAATTTTGTAATTAAAATCCCTACCGAACATGATATATTCTAAATACATTAACAAACAAACAAACAAAAAAATTCACCAATAAATCATAGCACAGTTTTATACTTTTAACCCAATTAGACATGTTTAGAATTTCTAATTGAAAATTCTTATGGATTTAAAACTAAGAAATTGCTTAAATAAAAAATATATCTTATTACACCGGATTATTTTTAGTGTGTCCCATAATTCCTGGTACCACAACAATACCGTATTACCCGCCAATCAATGACCCGTTATAATCAATGAGGATTAGAGAAAATGGTGAGTACATGAAAATATTCAGTAGGGCACGAAAATATGGTGCAATCCCAAATAAAAATTATTAAATCATGCATAAAAATTTCATACTGTCATATCATATCTTTAGAATAGGTAAGAGCTCATATCATCTCGTATCTTTGGTACCGAATAACCATTTCATATCATATCATAAGCATAATATTTATCAACTTGAAGAAATAATTTAAGCGGGATAAACTACTTGTACTTCGTAATCCTATCTCGCGAGACAAAACAGTTTTTGAAAGCCAAAATCCAAAATCACGTTCCAAACTTATTTTTCTATGTATTGCTGCTATTATCGTACGTGTATCTTAAATTTTTTCCTAAGGTAAATAATAAGAATCTTGTATGGTATTTAAGGTTGAAATGGAATATTGGAGGCCTAACATTTGTCAAAAAGCCGTGTGTGAAAGCGTGTTTCACCCCCATAAAAACATCTCAATTCCAAAAATCTATTCAATCAAAAATCACTTCCACTTGTTTTCCCGTAAAATGTCTCAATTCCATACAATCAACATATATTTCTAATCATCATGTAGTAGTCTCATTGTCAATTCCTAAAATCATGACAATTAAATAATATTAAAATATAACTAGTTGACACCATGTTCAAGGTCCAAAATTAAGGCAAATTAATATTAAAACCTACCCTTTTCTCCCTTTTTTTCAACCATTTCTACACGTGCACATAATTCAAAAACAAGATAATTCCATACACGTGTCAGTAGCACCATTTTGATTCCAAGTTTTAATTGAATTTGAAAACAAGTTTTTATCAACTTCTTCGAACAGCAATTTCTTGGTGCTGACTTATCACAATCGACTTTTTTTCGAGACTAGTATACATAATTAATTGCGAGCTATCCAATGAGCCCAATATTGATATATTTATCATTACTCTATCAATATTTAATTATTTGACCAAAATAAAATTGAATATAATATACTTATCATTTTAATCCCCAAGTTTCAAAATTTAAAATATAGTATATAAATTCTGGTATGTGAAAGTTTTTGGGACTTTACAAGCAAGACTTGTGATATTTGCATGAGACGATGTTTGATTTTTTATCAACGTCATGAAAGCGAAATGAACGATTCATTGTAGGATCATATAGGGTAAATTTTGCCCTAACTAATGTTAAAAGTAAATATGGCCACATAGGATCGAACAATTGAATAAAAAAAAGTAAGGCGTGTAAGCCCATGAACATAACATAAAAGAAATAATTTAAACAACTATTAAATAAGGTCGAGGTAAACTGCCTACTGTTACAATTTTATTAACCTCGAAGATGACCGCCAGGAGCTTTTCTACTGGGACGAGTTTTCCTTGAATGTTAAGCTCGGGTTGATCATAATTGTTATCCTTAGGTGCTCTTTCTTGAGAGTTGTCATTCCTCGAACATTTTTCTTAATTGACATAAGCCCTGAGGAAACCCATTTTTATCAAGGACTTATTTTCGCTCGATAAGTTGTACAAGTGTCTGTCCATGATCTCAATGGAATTCACAAAACTTACTTTTATCTTTGACATCTTAGAGAGATCTTGTACTTTGAGGCCATTTGAGTTCCTTGAGGTCCTTGATCTACCTCTGGACGTTGGAGCTCGAGGTACAAGGTTTGACTACTATCTACTCGAGCACTATCATATCATACATTGAGCTCATGCTGCCTCTTGTGTTCGCTTCTTAGTGGTCAAGCCCCATTTTTTTGGATAATGTTCTCTTTCATATAGATATAATTCTCACCCTTCGTGAGGGAATCAATTACGAACTTTAGTAGGGTTTTGACAAAGACATTTTAAATGATTCATATTTTATGGCATGTACGAGAGCGAAGATAGTAGCTGTGATATGTAGGTTGGGAACTGAGGCCTTTCTGTGTTTAATTGTGCCATGAAATCAATAAGGCTTCTTTTGTCCCTAGTGGAGCTATATGAGGGTGGTCGTTGTCTTCTTGATGTGCTTGCTACTAGCGAAGAGGCAGAGAACTTGTTTGTTAAATCTGATAATGTATGGATAGAAAAGCCTTGCACATTACTAGATCTAGGGAGACCTGTAGATACATGATTTTGGTTTATACATTAATTTGATTGATAATATTAGTGGTTCCAATATACTCTTTTATTCAAGGATAGAACCTATCCAACACCGGATATGATAGAATCTTGGGAGTGAAAGGAATGTTCAGCATAAAAGCTATTGAGTCATGGGTTCTTTGACGTAGGCCAGTAGTTATTCAATCTTAGATGATTCTAGTAAGTTCCATGGGGGTCAAGGTGATTGACCATAGGGTCGACGTCAAAGGAAAATCTAAAGTACACCCAAAGACTCCGCACTGCCATTATTAAAAAACGAGACGAGAAGATCAAGGTCGAGCTCCGATTATGTCATTGACCTTGGTTGTCAACACTAGAGACAGGTTCTATTAGCCCAACAGTTGAGTCAAAATAGCAACTTGCTAGCGAAGCTCTTCAAATGTCCCTGGGGCAACAACTGTAGGTTCAAGTGCTGGAAGAGGTCTTGAAAGTATATTAACCATGGCTTGCTTCCAACAGACAACATCAATGATGATACCAAACATTGAATCCCCAAGCTTGATGATAAAGAATGAGCACGAATAGAACTTTCGTAACTTAAGCCCTATAATAAGCTTGAGTACAAACATAACTTTAGTAATCAAAGCTCGATGACAAAGTTTGAGCTATGGATACAGAGTTTAAGTATAAACAAAACTTTTGTAACCCAAGCCCGATGATAAAGTTTGAGCACGAACAGAACTTTTGTAACTCGAGCTCGATGACAAAGCTTGAGCTGTGGATACCCAAGTTTGATGACAAAGTTTAAGCACGAATGAGATTTCTAGATTCTTAAACAAAGGCGTACAGGTATACTCTCGTCGTCCTTCCGATACTTAAGTTAGTGAAATGGGAAAAATATGTGCTTGAGGCTATGAATTGAACTGAATAAATAATGAATTGGGGACTTGTATTTATAGATTTGGACACTGCAATCTTGATAGAATTGGGTTACTTGGATGCCTTATCTGTTTAAGAGTCTTGAAGGAATGCTAGATATTATTGTAAGCTGTAGAATTATTGTAGTTGAGTCTTTCTACATTAGAAAACTTAAAAAACAAAAAAAAAAAAAAAATGAGGGACGCAAGATGTCCAAGGACCTCAAGCTTGAGCACTAAACCCGAGCTCGATGACAAAGCTCGAGCCATGGATACCCTAGTTTGATGACAAAGTTTGAGCATGAACGAGGCTTCAAAATCCTTAAATAAGGGCGTCAAGGTATATTTTCGTCATCCCTTCAATGCTTAAGTTAGCTAAATGGGAAAATAAGTGTTTAAGACTATATATTGGACTAAATGTAAAGCGTACCTGAATAATGAATAAATTTGGACAACGTAATCTTGGTAGGATTGCGTTATTTGGATGCCTTATCTATTTAAGAGTTCAGAAGGAAGTGAGAGACCTATGAAAGTTGGACATTATAATTTCGTTTAAACTGTAAAATTATTGTAGTTGGATAACACTAAAATTGTGGTAGTTGAATCTTTCTAGGTTAGGAAATTTGAGAGATGGAAAAAGATAACGAGTGACGTGAGATATTCAAGAACTTCAAGCTCGAGCACTAAACTCAATCATATGACTTCGAGAATGTTCTAGAGTGCTCAAAATTATCATCATTTCGAGCCCAAGATTGTGGGTAATTGGGTCGTACATAAATTGTCCGCATCAAATTCAATTATTCAAAATACTTCAACCACCTTTTACAAACTCAGGATCAAAAATCATAGGGATAAATCTGACATTTAACACGCGTCAGTCCAATCCAGGCGTTCCATAGCCGAGCCAAATTCGTTTCGTTTAAACTATGAAACCGCTTTAGCAGAGCACACCCACTCACCAGCGCCCCAGCTCCCCACCCCCTCTCTCTCTCTCTCAGTGAGATATTCAAGAACTTCAAGCTCGAGCACTAAACTCAATCATATGACTTCGAGAATGTTCTAGAGTGCTCAAAATTATCATCATTTCGAGCCCAAGATTGTGGGTAATTGGGTCGTACATAAATTGTCCGCATCAAATTCAATTATTCAAAATACTTCAACCACCTTTTACAAACTCAGGATCAAAAATCATAGGGATAAATCTGACATTTAACACGCGTCAGTCCAATCCAGGCGTTCCATAGCCGAGCCAAATTCGTTTCGTTTAAACTATGAAACCGCTTTAGCAGAGCACACCCACTCACAGCGCCCCAGCTCCCCACCCCCTCTCTCTCTCTCTCACACACACACACACACACACACACACACTCACTCAGGCATTTACATTTGTCTTCCCACACTCTGTTGTTCACAATTTTCCTCCTTGAAAATTAAAGAAACCTTTGGATCCGCCATTACTGAGGTAAAGCTCCACCGTTCAAAGTCCGAAGCTCTGGCCGCCGCTGCTGCGTGTCTTTTCCGAGTAAGTCGTTTGGCGCATCTCCACGTGATTTTTTTGTTTTTATTTGAATTTCCGTCCTGATGCAACCTGAGAGAGGAAAAAATGGATCAACATAATTTTTTTAATTCTTTTAATTTTTGAATTTTGACACTCCCATGCATAATGGAAAATTTCTTGAAGAGCGTGGTTTTTTTTGGATGATCGAATTCATGGTTAATTCCTTTTTAAAAAATCGTTTCAGATTTTTTTGTGTACATGCATGGTGGTTTTGATTCTGTGTTATTTATTAATTGTATTGTAATGTTTAATGAATGTGCTATAATAAATTACTAGATCTCAGAATGGATAAAAGTGATGTAGAGATGGACGAAGTCAAACAGCGTATCCAAGTTACAGTGAATAATGAACTCGAGACGGAGAATAAACTTCCTGATGCAAAAGTTGATTGCAGAGAAGGAGAATTTCTTACTAAAGCTGTCATGGATGATGTAAATGCTGGTGCAAACGTGTCAGAGGACCTAAAGTTTACTGAAGGCGAGGCAAAAGATGATAAGAATGAGGCTGAACATCAAATCAACATAAGCAGCGAGACCAAGGACCCAATCAAGGGTAAGAGTGAGGCTGTGGACCCAATCGAGAGTGAGAGTGAACATAATATTTTTGGTAGTGGAGTGGAAGAAGAAAAAAACTCAATGGTGAACGGCATAGAGGTTGCCAGTCCGGTTGAAAACATGATTGAGGAAGACAAAGTTAATGGAGATGTTGCAAAGGAGAAAATCTCCAATGAGAATAGCAGAAGGGATGGAAATCCTGTTGAAAATGTTGGAGTGGAAGAAAAACCAAGAGAAAATGCTGCCACGGAGGAAACATCTATCAAAGTAAACCAACTTCCAACGGAACTATCTGCCAATGAGGCTTCTCAAAATGAGGTCAATTTGGTAGATGACACGCCCAACTCCCTTGTTAAATGTTTACCTTCAAAGGCTGTAGACCATGGGCGGGAAATGTTTAAGACCATTTTTAGTCAAGCAAAGGTACTTTTGTTATTTATAACAGAAGTGAGAAAAGTTACACAGTTCAATTATAATTCAAGGGTAGACGTGAAGTGGCTATTACTGTTTCAAATTGTTCATCTATTTTTTATTTATTTTATTATTTTGAGTTTTAGATGGCTGAAGGTGATGATGGAACGCCTGAAGATCAAAAAATGTTCATGAAGGCACTGGAAAATTTCCACAGGGAGAAGGGGATGGATTTTAAACCACCCAAATTTTACGGGCACCCACTAAATTGCCTGAAGTGAGTTTGGATTTGATTTTGTTATGAGGCATGCTTGGGTAAAGACTAATTTCTTAACTTTGTGGGTTGCTAGGTTATGGAGAGCCGTGATTCAATTGGGTGGTTATGATCGGGTATGCAGTGCCCTCTATTTTATTTCTTAAATTTCTTTATTATATGCTGCCATTTTTAATTCTGGGCATTGCATAAAAGATTTGATGCTGACGCATATAGAAGTAAGGTTATTTGTAAAAATTTTAGATAGATATAAGGACAATGTTTTTTTTATTTCATAAGCAAGTTGCATGATGATATAAAACTCGTATCTCATGAGACTTAGAAAGTATTTAAGATTAATAAAAGTTGGATGTATGCAGGTTAACTTCCAAATAAGAAAATGTAACAAGTTGTATAAAGTCCTAAAAAACTGTATGCTACTTTCAAATCCTTCCCTTTTTTATATCCCAGGCTTTCATTATCTTTTTTACACGCTATTATAAAGAACAAAACTTATTGCTTAAACAATTTTCTTATGTGCTTTTATCATTTAATTTTTGTTTGCACAATGGAGTGTAAAGTTTTATGTCTAGCATGTAATATGGCATACATTGTTTTCCTTTTTCCCTTTTCATTTTACATCGAAAAGCATGTGAAAATGTTATGATACCATGTCCATGTGTTATTATCATACATGAAAGCTGTAGAGAAATAATTAGCAGGAGAATCTAAGCATCAGAGGGACAACAATGAGACTCATCCTGTTGCAGATGTTTCTTTGGTCTTCAATGACACACATGGGATCGTTTGAAAAACTTCTTTATTAAGATTGTGTTGTTTTTGCTCCTATATTCATCCAACACCTGCAGTATGAACTGAGTAATCTTCTGCAAACAACTCAAGTGTTATACAATGAATTCATTATTTGCCAATTGGCCTTTGAGATAAGAGAAAAATTTATAGAAATTCTGTTGAAATTGCAAATGCACACGGACAATGACATTTAGTTGTCAAGAAATCCTGTTGAGCTGAAAACGTCGCTAGCTGCATGAGGACATATTGCTAATCAGTTTTTAGTGTACATATTGGCAATGGTATATGTTAGATGTCACGTGTATCTTTTAACTTTGACTTACTTCACACGGTTCCATATGATAAAGACAATTTAAACCAAGTTATCTAGTACCCTGGCATTTGAGTCCTAGCACTAGTTCTTAGTTGGCATCAAAATTAGAATTTAAAATGGTAAATCAGATGACAGTATTATAAATGTTTTTTTCAATGTTAATAATTTGAGGAATTGCTGATATAGGTAACTGGATCCAAGTTGTGGCGGCAAGTGGGAGAGTCATTTCATCCTCCAAAGTATGGTTCTTCTGTTATTTTTTGATTTGTAATCATTTGAACTATTTGGGTTAGCTGCCAGTAATATACATGCGATTACAACTGTTGGGATAATTTCTATCGAGCAATGCTGAATAATCGTGTTCATGAAACTTGAAGAAAATCTTTAGCGTACTTCAAATTTTGTGATTCTGGCTTTATTTGGCTTACTTAACCCCCCTCGTTCTTTCTCTTGCAGGACTTGCACAACTGTTTCTTGGACATTCCGCATTTTCTATGAGAAGGCAACCCTCCCAATTTCACTTCCCATTATATGCTTGTTGTAACGTCCACATGATTTTTACCCATAGCCAGCAATTGGCATAAATTCTACTGCATGAGCCTGATATGTCTTTAGGCTATCCAAAACTTGGTTAAACTGTGAACTTATTATTATTACTAAAATAGTGAAAGGAGCAATCCTTCTTTGTGTGTATACATAGTGATCTCTAGTGCAGATTTCATTCTCCTAGATTTTGTTTGTTCTTATTTCTTTTGTTTCAGGTAGAAATTTTATGTTATAGTTATTTTCTGTCATTCTATGTGTTTAGCTTGAAAATCTAGCTTAAATGAATGTCTCATCCTTTCTCTGAAGAGTTATATGAAAAATGAGATTTGGGTATTGTAAAAGAAGAGGGCTTTCTTATTGATTACTCCATGTAGTACATGGATCATCTTTTTTATTTATACCTATTATCCTTTAATCTCATTTTTTTTATTGGATTCTATTATTGATCATCTCTTTCTCTTTTATGTATATATGTGTCAGACACTTTTGGAATTTGAAAGGCATAAGACACAAAGTGGTGAGCTTCAACTTCCAGTTGTTTCTCTTCCTGAAGTTTTTGACAATGAGGTGAGTTTGTATTTAATTTTTCTTAGTATGTACTCCTTGCTAACTTAATTTAGTGATCACTATTTGATTGTTATTGGTATTTATTTTCCTGTTATAAATTATTTAAAGTAGGGATACAGGCTTTTAAGTATTTAAAAAATGGTTTTTCAATATTGTGGGAATTGCACCTATCCCTATTTTCTAACTTCCCATTTCAAAATTCAGAATTTAAATCATTCTTTCAAAACTCAGGTGTATATTACACCCTATCTTATGTCACACCACCCCACCTATCATTTAACCCATTTCTTCCTCAACTCTCATATCCACACTCCAATGACTCCATGTTCACCCGCTGTCTACAGCCACTATCCCTCCTACCACTGCCATTGGAAATGCCAACCTGCTCTGCCACGAGGTCTTCTCCTGCCATCAAGACCTTCACAACCAGCTCTCCTCACTTAAAGTCACTAAAACCTCCCTCTCCTCTCTCCAAATTTCAGTTTCTCCTCCAACACCATGTAGAAGGATGCTTCTGCTTCTTCCCCTACTCCAATGCCACTAGATATCACTGCCCACATATCTCTCCACTTAATTAAATTGAAGACAGTGCCTCTCATCCCTCAATTGCCCTGGAACAGGATCCGAACCCGCTATTGATTGGCTGCTGGAATTCATCAGGTACTCATGGATTGCTAATGGAGCCTTCTCTCTCTTAGTCATCTTTCACTTTCCCAATCCTCTCTCCGATTTTGAAGTGCAAATCGGCCCAATTTTTCATCTAGTCATCAAATGATAGGGTGGGGTGAGCGATAGATTTGAATTGGAGGAGGTAAAGGTGGTGATGGTTGTGGCTTTGAGGTTGTGGCGGGGACGGTGGAGTGGTATGGGATGAGATGAAAAGCGTGTCATTGCTGATTATTTCACTCAGATTTGAATCGGCGATGGTGGATTGAAGGTGAAGATGAAGGTGGTGCTGGCGATGGAGTCAGGTAGGATGAGGTAGGGTGTGATGAAGAGTGATTATAACTAGTTAATTGTAATTTGTGACTAATAAATAATTAATGATCCGTTAATTGTGTGATTTTATACTAGATTTACAACTCATAAATTATGTGGTATGTGACTATGACAATGTGTGATTTTATGACTAGTATGTGACCTTCACCATAAGTTGTGTGTTTAATTTGACCTTGACCTATTTGATTAAATATAGGTTGCAACACTTTATCGAAGGTCACAAAATGTGACCTTCTGATTTTTGAAAGATTTCATCAAGTTTGTTAAATTTGAAAGTGGATGAAAGTATGGTAGTTAAGTATTTTTCCCGTCAATACTTGATAAAACATTCATAGATGGGCTTTGACGTCCGCATTTTTTATTTCACAAATAACTTTCGCCAATATTTGATAAAACATTTGTAGATGGGCTTTGATGTCCACATTTTTTATTTCACAAATAACTTTCGCAAAGAAAAGCAATTTTTTCTGATTCTATTCTGGGTAAAGAATCAAAACCTATTAAAGTAGCAACACAAGAAACTTGGGTAAAAGAATATCTTTGCACATGGCTTCGCTATTGAGTCAAAATTTAACTCTTAAAGACATCCTTTGGGAAGAAAGAAATGATGCGTCACCTTTAGTGGCTCTCATTTCTTCTGCATAGCAATGGAGAATATATACGAAGAGCAAGATATGATGGTTTCAATTTTATGCAATAAAACAGTGTAAAAACGCAAGCCAAAAACTGAATAAAGTGAAGCTGTGGTACCATTGCATCTAGAACTATCACAAACCTATCAACCCTTAACTCGTTCATTTTTGGTGGATGGATGTTAGTTTTTTTGTGCATGTGGGTTTCACTTTGATGATATCAAATATCCATCTGATTGTAGTTTATAAACTTTCGCTGGCAAAACTTTCACCTCTTATTTTCTCATTTTACTTAAAAAATATTAGTTTTATTTTTATTTTATATTTTCTTATATTGCTGTTCTTCTAGAGGAAATTATGCTTTATATGGTAATTGTTTCAGGGTTCTCATGATTTTGCACATGCAATGTGCTCTGCAAGCTTGTCTATAACATGCATCGATATATCTGTGTATTTTTATGTATGCGTTGACATGTTCTAGCATGCAAGTGTTTCAAGATTTAACTCTCTATAATATATCATTTGAATATCCTAAAGCTAATTGAACAGGGTAATGGCTATCAAGGATCAGGCAGGGCTCGGAGAGATGCTGCTGCTCGTGCTATGCAGGGATGGCACGCCCAACGTCTTTTTGGTTCTGATGAGGTTGATGAACCAATTCTAAAGGTCTATATCTTTATCCTCTTCTTGGGATTTCTATCTATGTCAACACAATGAGTGTTTCATTTATGATTTACATAGTTCTTTTGTAAATTATATTTTGATAGGACAAGAATCTGAGCACTACGGCAAAGCATGAGAAAACACTCAAAGGCATTGGTAACCTTGCTTTAGTTTAAATTTTTTTTAATTTACAAGCTCCTCTTCCGTAGAAATTGTTTGCAATGACAGAATACAGTAAGATACAAGTTGTTTCATTCAGAAAATAAGATTTTTGTTTATGGCCTATCAGTTACCCGTTATCAGTTTCTTTCATTGTCTTGGTAAATGAGAAAATAAACAAAGGGCTCAAAATCTGGTATGTGGATTTAGGCCCACTGAAACAGAAGAGACTGAATGAAATGGAGCTCCCGGTGAAAGCGGCACGAACTGAAACATATAAGCAGTTAAGTCGTGCTATATCTTGATTAATTGATCTTATTCTTGGCTTGCTTGTTGGAATTAATTTGATCTATCTAATGAGAAGCTCAGTTTAAGATGGAGCAGTGAAGATGACCCCATCATTGTAGAGGTGGATTCATCTCCTCCACCTCCACTTTTAACAGGGCGTACTCGACTTCCAAATCTTGTAGATGAACTTTAGATAATGAAACCATCATTGTTTCGTGTGCCATTAAACTCTTCCTCTTTTACCAGATTGGAATTGTGTATCATACATTTTCTAGTCTTGTACTTTTACCATCATGCCTGCAATTACTTGCCTGGTAGATGGTTGGGATTTTGTGCTTGTTCACTGCATTATATAAACTTGTACTTATAACAAAGATGGCTGTAGCACTGCGAACAAACCAATCTTATGGTTTTTTAGCTAGTTGGTTTTGAGTGTGGTTAATCACGTTCTGAGCTGACATGGCAATTGAACTTTCTAGTCTCGATACGACGGGATGCTTTTTTATTTCCTTTGGTTGCTAAGATGTAACCAAATCAGGTCAAATTTAATGAATTCATTGGAGCAATACTTCTGTTTTAGGTAGAAACTTTGGCTTTTTACACACCTCCTCCAAGGATTTTCATTTTATCAAGCCTTGGACTTGTAGGAATCGTTGAGTGTGAGTACAAGTCTTTGTAATGTTACAGTAATTTTTGGAGCGTCTTGCTATGGACGTTGTGCAAGAGGGTGTTCACTGGTAAATTGGTGAGTTTTGATTTTTAAGGGTGTGCACTGTGCATATTAGGTTGGGCATTGAGATGCAGTTAGTGTACCAATGGGCAATGGGCTTGGTTTAGATGACCTTGGAGAAATTCTAGGTTGGTTAGAGGTATACCCAAGAGATGATTGGGACACAAATGGGGTTTAAAGTTCGTCAGTGAGATAGAGGTTAGGGCATTTATCTAGGTTTTGGGAATTAAGCCCTTTGTATATCTCATCCTGTACAGAATGTAGTTCTCCTTGTCAATGTAGGCATGTTTTCGCTGAACCGCCTAAATCTTGTGTGCCTTCATTGTGACTTTTCATGTCGATTAACTCGATACTTTCCATAGTGTTGCTGGTTTCTTGTATTCACATGTAAACACTGGATTTGCTGGGTCATACCATAGTATTCTAACTTATTTTAGTACCCAAGTTGAGATCTTCTTTGGTTTTACACATTTTCTAGTCAGTTGATAGGACTAGCAATTCATAGATTGTGAAAGAACATCCTGGTTTGAAAGAGTTTTTTCAAAAACATTGAAGAGTAAGGCTGTGCAAACTTTAAGCAGAAGAATGCTAGTTGGAGTCCTAATTGAGGAGGGCAAGTTCATCAATTCTTTAGCGGGTATATTCTGGCTGAGAATTTGGGAGTGGCTAGTTTAAATTAAAGGTTCAGGAAATGCATGCATGACCTGCATTGTGAAAGCTCTCGTGATTTATGAGTTGAGTTGGGAAACGGATCCAAAACTCAATGGTGGTACTTCAACACTGTTACATCTTGTAGCTGACCTCACAGTCTCTGCCTGTAAGGATATATGCTTTCTGGGTTGCCTCTTGCATTCCTGGTGTTTACTCTCTAGAAGTTCATCTTTTGTTGGCTTTATAGGTGACACCGTGACACAGTATTTCGTGGGCATTAAGTGGGAAGAGATCAAGACAATTGGAGCACAAGGCCATTAAGTGGAACTGATGTTTTCTTGAACTTTTAAGAAATCTGATTTTGGTATGCATGGGTACTTGGTGTAGGAGACGTGATCAGTATCAGCCAAGAGGCTTCTGGGATATGGACAATTTTGGAGAAATCAGCCAGACAAGAAGGTAGATTGAGGTCTATGTTGAGAGTTGAATTGAGTTTTGGGTCTGTTCTGTTACACATGCATCAGCCACATCCTTCGGATTAGGAGGAGTCAAGTACTAGTGATTGCCCTACGAATTTGTGTATTAAAGTAGCTGGTGGTTTGGAAGGTCTAGAGTTCATTCGCTGCTTTAGAAAACGGGTGGAGATGGTGAATTGTCGAGCTAGGAAGCGGAGAATTTTTGGGTAGAAAGTCTGTTTTTACCATTCCTCCTTGGTGATTATCGGAGTCAGCATGTGAGTGGAAGTTTGTATTTGAAGCATGATGTGAAAATGAAATGCTACAGCAGGTCATGGTTAAGATGGCATGAGAGGTATTTAAGGATTGATCAAAATAATGCCCATGGGATTCTTGTGAAAGTGGGTGGGCAAGTTCTTCATGAGATGAGAAAGGGATCTTTTATGGACTAAGGTTTGAGAATTGAACACTTGATGCATGTTTGCTTGAATGGATATTTTGTTTGTAGGTAAGAATGAAAATTCTAGGCATGAATGAACTCTAGTCCCGTAAATCATTATTATGTTGATTTTCCCTTTACCAATGAAACACTGGTTGTGAAGTGTACATGCTGAAAACTGGATATCAGGTTTCTCCTCTTTTCACTTGGGTTCAACATTTGGGTACCAATACCTTTGGTGAGACCGTTAAACTCATCATGCAACTGGATACTATAAAGCTTCTTTATGATAATGGATTGTTTGTATGCAAGGCAATTAGAGCATATAATGCATGCTTCAGCCTCGATGATGCTTTGCAGATGAATTCTGGAAAGCTTTAAATTAGCTTTTGTGCAAAATTAGCAGGCACAAAGTCACAAATTGACCAAGAGCTGGCATTTGCAAGAGTTACCAATTTATTGTTGCTAGGAGTAAAATGATAAGAAGTAGGTCCCTTGTTTTTGGCAGGAAGAGTTCCAGCCTTTGTTGTGCTAGCCTTAATGTAACGGTGCTGGGGGCAAGAAGGGCGATTTTATCCCCCACAGTGCAGTGATAATTTTATCGTTCTTACTTCCTGTGGATGCCAAAAAGGATGGAACACTGTTTCGCTCTGTGGTCAAAGGGCTAATTGACTCGCATGCTTACTGCAGACCAGAAGTGTTGGGAAATAATATTCTAAATATGTGCCTTCCCCCTGCCCTTTCTTTTTCTTGTCTGAGATATATAGTTAATCCTTTAATCATTATTGTGCCCCTTCTTTTTATTTACTATAACTATCGGCGCTTTTCTAACTCAACATGTCTTTAATCTGTCTGCCAGACTGGTCACAACAGTTGTTGATGTCGGCCCCCCAGCTGATTGGGTGAAAATCAACATATGTGAAACTGTAAGTTTTTTATGATAGGTCTAGCTTCATTATTTATGTCTCTCTTCCTCTCAACAAAAAAGGGATACTCAAAGCAGATTTTGACAGTGACTGTTACTTTATGTACAGAATGATTCTTTTGAGGTTTATGCCCTGGTGCCTGGGCTTCTGCGTGAAGAGGTGTGTATTTTCAGTTATTGGTTTGTTGTACTGAGTGAGAACTTATAATGTGTTCTTCATTTCAGTTTGTGGGATATGCCTCATTTTGGTTTTTGTTGATTGTTCCTTCAACTTTTTAGCTAATATATTGCCATTAATGTATATGCATCTGTTTTGCGATCACTGTTTGTATTCTCTGGTTCTGATTGCTTATGAAATTTGAACCACTAATAATGAATCTTCTTCTGGTGGAATAGGTTTGCTTTTGTTTTCTTATTTCTATTAGGAATTTAATAGGTTTTTGTGTGGGTGTGTGCGCACTCAAAGTGAGATAGTGAACTAATCCAATGAGTCGATATTGATGCCCTTATTGATGGGCTTAGGTGCGAGTTCAATCAGATCCTGCTGGGCGATTAGTCATAACAGGTCATCCTGAAGAACCTGACAATCCCTGGGGTGTTACCCCATTCAGAAAGGTACGAGTTATATTACTCGGAATTTTGACACAGACTTTTGTGAAGCTTACTATGTACAGTCAACATTCCAGTGAGGCGTGCTATATTAATTGTGAAGCTAATTACAATGAGCAGCTTTCATATTCAATGTGTACTAAACCTGTAATGACGTGTGTTTTTCTTTCTCCTTAGCAAATTAAAGAGAGAAATTTTAAGCCCAGTTTGGAGTTTTTTAAATCTGATGAGGACTACAATATTATGTTCCTCCATTGATCAAGAATTTCGATTTTCGGGAAGTATCATGATCATCCAATAAGAAGGGTTTCCATTTTTTCAAATGACCAATTTGAAGATCTATTGATTTTAACAACTGATTGCAGAGTTGATCATTCAGACCTTTCAATTCATAGATGTAGATCTCGGAATCTTCTCCCTTTTACTATTATACTTATTATTATTTTTTCCCTCCTGTTTCTGAAATGTTTCTGCCATTTAACCTCTTGTTCTGTTGAGTGCCACATGTAGTGAAATCTAGTCTTCTGGATAGACCAGTATTTCCTGTTGACAATTTGAAGGCATGTCAATTGCATATCACCGTGGATATTTTAGAGTACTGGCTCAGAATTAACAGGTAGTGTGGTTTTCAGGTGGTGAGCTTACCTGCAAGAATTGATCCAGTTCACACTACTGCTGTCGTTAGCCTGCATGGACGTCTATTTGTTCGTGTTCCTTTTGAGCAGTCAACAACATAAACATCATAGTTCATTAACATTTTGCAGAATAGTTTCTTTTTGCAGCAATCTACTCTTTCAGCAGCTCAAGTTGCTGATTTGTCTTGAGGTTTCTGATTTTTAAATATAGCTAGCTTTGACCGTAAAGTTATCTGATTGCATTGCATTAGCAGATTAGCTTATAGAGGTTTTATGGATCATTTCCCTGGAAGACAAATGGATTGTTGTTTTGACTCTCCATCCACATTAAACGTTCTCTTCTTTTGAATTCTTGTGGACACTAAATATGATTTATTGCATTCAAGTTCATGCAGGATGTGGCTTCCACTGTAACTATCAACATATTCCTTACAGATCATAATGGTTGGGAAGTATTTGTAAACAATTTAATCTATAAATAGGTAAAGATGAATGGTTGATAAATTTATAATACTTTAAAGCCTCACAAAAAGTGTAAATTTTTATAAACAGCAGTCAAACACGTGCGCCTTGCAACAATTCCGGCCTTTCCAACTTAGGCAATGTATCCATTCCTGCCGTATTTGATTAAATGCCATGTCCCTGATTTGCTTAATAATACTAGAATAATGAATAATATATCGTGCGTTACGAGCAGGGTTGAAAACATCGTCAATCAGTAAACTGAACCAAAATTTCTTGCTCCCAATAGTGAAGCAGTGCAAGTTACGGGAGAAAAATGTCACTGCTGCTTCTTGAAACCCAAAAGGAATCACTCGGAAGGGTGCTTCTGCTTCTTTTCTCTAGGCCCGTTGGCCTCATCTTTAATTTTAGCTTCCCGTCGCTCCCTCTTAACCCCCTTTGCTCTGTGAGGTAGTGCCACACTTCCAACCTAGATACAAGAGAAGTTGTTAGTACTTATCAAATGACTAGCATGAAATATGGCTGCTGCTAAAAATACATCAGCCAAAGGAATTCACTGAAAGGAAGAAATATCTCTGTTCTGTAATTTAGCAGTTACTTGGTTCATAACAAGGTGAATAACTCGGCCTTTCTATTGAATAACAACACGAACAAAGACATGGTGGATGGGAAATGACTGCTCATTTAGAATATGTCCTCCGATTTAAATCAGGGATAGGTATCCAATGGGTAGGATACCACTACTAGAGAGGGCTAGTTTTTATCTGATTCCTCGAGTTAGTTTTATGTTTAATTACATGAATTAAATAGCAGTAGATATTATCGAAAAGAAACTAAAATCTTTTACATCTTACTGTCTGATACGGTCTAATATTGCATATCAAACATACACTAAATGCTTTTGCACATAACAGTCTGCCATCACATTCGGCTTTTAGGTTGGAGCCTTGGAGGGATTTGGGAAGACTCGAGGATTCATTCTAACCCTTGAACAATGCAAGTTCACATTAAGAGCAGCAAATGGCATCAAAGCAAAACCGTCTCTTACCTTCTGATCTGGAATATATATCTTCCCAATTTTCCCTTGTATTGCATCTTTTGTAACATTTTTCTCCTGAAAATCCAGAGCCAGAATTAGTATCGTCATCTTAAATTGCAGAAAGCAAATTATAACTAGGCAAACCTTTTTCTTTGTTGATTCAGGGGCTATCTTCATTGCTTCTTTCCTCAGGCTGTCATCAGGGAGACGATGTCTTCGAACCACCATATCCATGGATGGACCAACCTCAACCAATTCCATCCTTGGTACTATAGTGCCAGACTTTTTAAGTTGCAGTGCACAATGAGTAAATAATACTTTCTTTGAAGAGGTGGCTGTGCACACATAAACACGGTCCAGTCCAGCTAGGTTCAAATTCGTCACAACCTACAAAATTGAGATTTGTGCTTATTATGATATTCTTTGAATTTAAATAAGCAACAAAAGAAGAGAAGAGACCATAATAGTACAGGCAAACCTCTCCATGGAACAGGTCAAGTAAAATTTCTTTTAAATGTTTCAGCTCTTCAACACTCTCAAAACCTTCTCCAACAAAAGCGAAAAAGGGTTTTGACCCAATTTGAGGGGCCAATTTCTTATCATATGAGAAAGAGTTCATGCTTTTGTAATTTTCAACCCCAATTTCTACAAGATCATAAATGTGGTGATCAAATGCTCGTCCAATAACAAGGTTGTTTGGCCGCTTCTTTGAGTGAGAACCAAACTGCAAAAAGAAAACAGGGAGAACTTTTGAAAATAATAATAACCCTCCAAATTAAAATCTAGATTTTAATCAAAATCAACAATCAACAATCAATTTTAACCACATTTCATGGACCCACTACTTTTCAACCACTCATTTCATCAACTTTTATCAAAATATACTAAAATCTTATTTTAATCCCCACCAAACAAGGGCGAAATGGCAATGCACACAAACTTCCTTCACTCTGTAGTCCTTCATATGGTGAGATGAACATATTAAAAAAAAAAAAAATTAATAGCCAGTATTAATTCCAAGAGATGAAAATTTCTTAATTTTGTGATTTTTTTAATTATTAATTTATTTAGCTGGTTTGAGACAAGTGATAATGCAAGACTAATAGCAGTGATGATATGATAGTCTAATATCATTATCCTCTTTTCAATCTATAACTAGACATTTCCCTGACAAAAGAACAATTATCTAACAGGCTCTATGAAAGGGAAATTGGAGGTCTTACGCGGCTTAAGAGATTTAAAGTACTAAATAAATTATTCAATAAATAGACACGTGGTATCAAAAGTAAATGCTAATGCTTCGAGGTTGAATGCCTTCGGACCACCCAAATGACATTTTTTATGGTCATGAGAAAACATAACAGGACAAATTGGGAGTGCACAGCCATAAATAAAAATATATGGATGCTAGTAGCAAAATGTCAATCAAGAAAGTAATATTCAGCCATTCTTTCTGCAACATTAGTCTGTAAGCATTTTTGGAAATATATCAATATTAAAACTGGTGCCAAACACTATCCATAGACGAAATTCTATGCACAGCCTTAACAGAAACATACTATGTATAACTGGTAACTCCTCGATCACTTGTCTAATGAGATAATTAGAATGCTTTTTACATTTACACATAAACAAATCAGCTCAAAAGATAAAACACTTATTCCAGCTAGTAGTATCTAAGCCAGAAGCCAAGAAGAGTTTCATTCATCACATTTTATAAGAATTCTTGAAAGGGGATTATTTAGATAATATACTTGAAGGTATGGCTTTCAATTCAAACCTTGACCAACATTCCACTATATAGTTGACTTCCCGCAAACAAAGGAATTCTACTGTCTGCTTAACCAGCCAAATAGTTAAAAAGATCGTTGTTTAAAAAAATAAAAAAACTAATTGAGGTCCACCTCAGAGTGAGGCGAACAAAAATGCTTCGAGGCACGGATTATAAGGAAGTTTTTGGAGGCCCAAACTTCAGATGATTGTGGCACACACCACTACACTTGTGAGGAGTACGATCCTTAATTCTCTAAACTTGTTCATTTTGCTTTAGGCGTGGCCTGTGGGATACAAAAGATTAAAAATTTTAATTAACCCACTTTGGGAATAGCTCACTTCCCCAAGCTATTACTAAAACATTAAAAAATGTATTATCTGATTAACTCACCTTAGAAATCAGCTAGCACTACAACATTGAAAGATTTTATTTCTCAAACACCCACTTTGGGAATAGTCCATTTACCCCTCTGACTAAATTATTAGTTTTTCTTTGTGTTACTTTATAGATTTAATTTTGTTTGTCTGCTCAATACAAATTGTCCTATTGAACACTGTTTAGGACTGATTGTGTTCACTATTTATATTGTGTTAATGACTTAATATGAGATTATTTTACATTTCAATAATTTTTTATAATTTTTTTTGTTTTGCAGTGAAGCTTGCGCCTCACCTAACAAAGGAAAAACGCCTCAGTACCGATGAAGCCTTTTCAAACATTGCAAAAGAACACTTTTCTTTGTAGATGAAGTAACAGAGTATCAACACTCCCTATCCTCAGAAAATTTCTTTTCCTACATAGGAACTAATGCACACATATTAATTTAACAAGAAAATTAAGAACAAATCAAACGATGCCATCATCACCCAAAGGGTAAAAAAAAGAGAAATGAAAAATAAGGTGTGACATAGATTTCATGCATACCACAAATAAACTGCAATCTGTTTTGAGGGAGAAAAATTCTAGAGAAGTTTCACCGCCGCTCTCAAACGGTCTGATGTCGACATTTCTTCGAGAATACTTGACAGCATTCTCTTTCTTCAGATGATATATTTCTCTCAATGCTGAATTCAATACACTGCTTGTTTTTGTGCCATGTAGTATTAAAGTCTTCTTTCCAGTTTCCACCTAAAAACTCGCATCTTTTTATCAACCAAAAATTGGAAAAGAAAAAAAATATATTATTTACCAAATTAAAGAAAATTACTGCCTTACGAGTTTAGGAGCACGTTTTTCTATTTCTCGCTTGATTCTTCCATTTTTTGGGGTCTTTATTTTCATCATGATTGGCTGAAATCCAGCGAAAAAAATGAAATACAATTACCAAATACAGGAAAAAAAATTGATTTAAGAATACTTGTTTGTACATATAAAACAGAATGGAGTTAAGGTTCAAAATACGAAGCTTTGAAGTCACAGATGGACACAGAGAAAGAAGTTTGGAGACTGGCCGAGCAGAAAGGTTGAATGATGTGATAAGAATGAGAATAGAGTTTGTTTGCAGAGACAGGCAGAGATTCAAGTAGGCTGGCCAGTTCCGATTCAGTTCGGTCTGGTCCGGTTTCTGTTTTAAATTGACAAAAGAGATGTATTAAAACTATAAGTGAACACGTACATTGATCCTTATTTAATTTGCAAAAACTTAATACCACATCCACAATACAATACCAATGAAATTATCAAAACCATTGGAACTATAGAAAATCCTTCAACTAAACTAGACAGGAAATATATTCTGGGCTCCATAAATCCAACAATGGAATTATAAATTAATTGACACGATAAAACTATCCTCGATTTCATTCACTGACTCAGAGAAATCTTCTCAGTAAATTCAAAACAAAAAAGCAAACCAAACATGATAAAAGCATTTTAATGAAAGCAGATCATTAATTAGCTCTAAAAATAAGATTAAATCAAAAGCAAGAACAATGGGATGGCGGCCACGAAAATTTGGAAAAAAAGCATAGCATATCAAAGTGTGAAAAGATGAGAATACACGTCAAGTGAAAAAAAAAATTCGAAAATGATACCTCTATTGGCTTGGAGCGGGCGAGGTGGGATTGAAGTGCTAGGGTTTTAGGGTTTCAAAGAGAGAGCCAAAACCCTACAACGGAGATCAAGCTTAAAGCGACATCGTTTTTTGGTTTTTCTAAACCCTTCCCGTCTATTTTTCATTTTCATTTGTTTTCTCTTTTATTTCAATTTGGTCACTAAGCTAATATTATCTCAATTGATCACTATACTTCAAATTAATTTCAAATTACATTACTCTATCACCTTTTGTCCCCAAAACTAAAGTAAAGTGCTTGGTTGAGACCCATACTATATAAATATTTCATGACTCCTATATGACACCATGAAAATGAAAATGATAATATTCAAATGCGGATTTTAATATTTTCACATTTTTATGATATAGCGTAATTGTAAATTGATATGTTATGCAGCAGTTATGTAGAAAATAAGTTGTAATATGAGTATAATCAAAGTTTGAATACGAGTGATAAGAGTGGTGAAATTTGAAATTAGATTAAGGGTTGTTCGACAAAATTTTTGGTTAAAATTTTAATAGATTTTGATAAAAGTTGATAAATCTATAATTGAAAATTTGACAAAAGTTGTAGATCCAATAAAATTTATATTTATAATTAAAGTTTGACCTATTGAAAAGTTAATAAAATTTTGTTGAACTTTCTATCAAATTAAAATTTCAACAAAATGTTGTCAAACAAGTAATACAAAGTTCAATGACTAAACAAGTTTTAACGTTAGAGCAAGCACGTTACAACGATTTTTTTGGACACAAGTAGCAATGAGTAATGCTATCTATCAATTAGTAAAGATGTATTAACAGTTAGACAACAATAGGTCTCCTTCATTATAGTGAAGTGTAGCACAATCAATTCTATTAAACAAAATATTAGTGGCTCGTCTCTACTAATAATAGATAGTTCTGCAATACATAAGTTTAGGGTTTTTGTCCAACAACTGTTAATGTTCTCATTAAGCCCCTGTATGGACTCCATTATTTTAAAAATACATTCTTCCAAAATTCATTTTCAATCACATATTCTTCCATGAAATAATATTACAGGTAAATTCAAAACTTTTCCTTATCCTTTAATCACGCAATTTCCAAAAAATCACTCTTCCGACATTCCTTTTCTTCCAAAGTCACATTAAAATGGAGCCCAAATAGGGCTAAAAAAATAAACATTCTATAGTATAATGCTCCATCCCAAATTAAGCACAAATATCACAATGCACACCACTTTTCTTCGTCATCCACTGGAGCCATCTGCATGTTGCTACGAACAGACATTTGCAAATCGTGAAAGGAGTCTCAGGTCAATATATCATTGCAAAATACAGTGAAAGCATCAACTAGACAACTACTCGTGTTTCAGGAAAATGCCAAGCCATAGAGAAATGTAATCGCCTTATCACGCGCATTGCAAGATTTACACACCTAAACCAAACTTAAAATTGTATTATTCATGTACAGGATCCAAAAATTTTCAACCTTTACAAATGAAAAAAGCAGATAAAGTACTGCGACCATTCTAGGCAGCATTTCAGTCATGTGCAACAGATAAGAATAGCAAACGACAACCAAATAAAGGAGGATCAATAAAAAAAGAAAAAGAGGTCAAAATGCTCAAGGAAAGGCCTTGGTGGTATCACGGTGAGTTGTTCATGCCAGAAAAGGGAAGTACTTGAATTTAGATATGTAACCTCGGCCTTCACATTTCACATGCTCGCTAACTTTCCAGCTATGACAAGGAGCATCCCCCATGGAAATCCTTTCCTCATGTTCTCGTCATAGCTCTATTCTTCCTCCAGCCATCTGACATGTATTTATACTTTATATGCGATAAAGATGCTGGGAGTTCTTTCCTCCTACTAGCCAAGTTTGGTCACATCCCTACTTGATCGGTTGTATTTCATGTGACTTTTAACCAGCTGTCCTGCCGCAATGGCAGACATTAAAGAGAGCTCCCCGGCCAAAACTGAACCCGCAACTATGGTTGCCAGAAGCTGGGAGTTTGAGCCTGGGGACTCCTTGTTTGCACCCTTAACTCCAAGAAGGTTGAGACAAGCAGACTGTGAAGCCAATTGAGTACCACCTCCAACTGTGCCAACCTGGAAAAGGAACATTGGCTTCAGTAAAAAGATGACGGGTTCTACCTTGTACACAAAGTTCACTTTCCAAAGAGAGAATTGCAGCATTGATAACGAAATTTAACCGTCACTTTTCAATTACCATTCCTTGAAAACTACTCAATAAATTGGAAAAATATGTATCATATTACTAATTAATTACAGATCACGTCGAATGTTAAATACCTCGATGGAAGGCATGGTGACAGAGACATGAAGATCCCTGCCATTGTTGACAGCCTCCATCATAGTGATACAGTGAGAACTTTCTACATTTTGTGCTGGGTCCTGTCCAGTGGCTAGGAAAATTGCAGACACGATGTTGGCAGCATGAGCATTAAAGCCACCAAGAGAACCAGCAACAGCAGAGCCAGTAAGGTTCTTGAGCATGTTAAGCTCAACGAGGGCAGATACAGTAGTTTTCAATACCTTTGCCACCACTTCTCCATTAATAACTGCCTCACAGACAACTGACTTTCCCCGCCCTTCAATCCAATTGACTGCTGCAGGTTTCTTATCAGAACAGAAATTTCCTGCATAATGAACGACAAATTACACCCGAGCACAACATATTGCAACACCAGAGAAAATGGAAACCAGCCAAACAAAGTTATTACACTAATTCTGATGGTTCACAGAAATGCAAATAAATTTCAGAAGCCAAAGCATGCTGCTCCAAATCACAAAAACATGAAGATGACGACGATAAATCAGTGTCAGGAGTCATCTTTGTGTAGATAATTATTACAACGCGAGACATACATGGTAACTCGAAACAGTCAGGACAACCAAACTGCTTAGAAGCAACATAATGCAAGTCAAAGAAAATTGTTAATAATTCTGCTCAGATTCTTGGAATCAAGACTTGAGTGCGTGTTAAAAGAAATGTCAAAAACTTCCAATAGCAAGAGGATGTTGAATTTCAACGGAGTTAAAGGAACTTCGGTGACAAGAGTACAACAGCCACAGTCCACAGAAACGAGTGTAAAAGATCAGTATATAATAAAACATAATAATTTGTGATTAGAACTCACCAGAAATACCAATAACATCCATTTCTGGAAAATCATTTTGAAGGAAGTCCAGAACATTCTGAACACCTTTAGACACCATGTTCATCCCCATGGCATCACCAGTGCTGCAGCTAAATCGAATGTAGAGATTTTTCCCTGCAATAGCACACTGAATACCTTGTAGTCTTGCATATCGGCTCGACCTGTGACCACAAAACACATAATTATGTAAGAAAGCTTTAGAGAATGACTTGAAATTCTAGAGCAATACCACTAATCAAACACAAAAGAGAACATATAAACCTTTAATAAGATAATGTTTACGTGATTGATGGTTCATTAGCATAAGAAAATTGATGAAAAATGATACTGAGTGTGATTCACGAGCTAAACTTGTGCAGGCCAAATTGATGCATCTGTGTCTACGCAACGTCCAATGTAACCGAGAAGCCATTGATAGCATATCAAAGGCTTTGTTCTAATGAAAAATAGCAAGTACAAATAGAGGAAGGAATCCATTTGCCACCAATTTTGGAAAAGAAATTTCGCGCAATTTTAAACCAAAATTCCCCCATGCCTTCCCCTAATGCCTACATGCAAAACCAAACACCTATCAACTTCCGGGTCATTCACAAACAAACACATAACAGGAAATAATTTGACAAGCCGACAAGCATAGAATAGAAGATAGAGAAAGTAGATAAAGACGGTACAAGTAGTTAAACCCATCAAAATCAATTGATCTCCAATCATACAAAACGACATAAAAATCCCGAAAAGGAAGAAATCTTACTTGTTGAAAACAACAGTCAATGTATCAAAATTGAGCGGGTCCTCCAAGAAGAACTTCAGCTCCGTAGCCCTCTTTGCAGAGGCGAACCTTACCACCGGAGCTCTTGTCATCCCATCTCTGAGGAGCACCGAAGTGGCACCCCCAGATGCAAAGATAGCTTTGCAACCCCTGTTGGTGCTGGCCACGAGGCATCCTTCTGTGGTGGCCATCGGCACTGAGTACTCGCACCCGTTGAGCAACAGAGGCCCCGCTATCCCCACTGGAATCTGCACATATCCCACCGGCATCTCGCAGCACTGCCCCAATATCGACTTGTAATCAAACCCCTCCAACGGCAATCCCTCCAGAGACCTTCCCGTCAACCTCTGCAATGCCTCGCGCCTGATCGAGGCCGCTTTGAAGCAGTCCCCGAGCTTAGATTCCAATGAATAGGAAGGGATATCTCCCGAGACCACGGATTTCACTAGTTCTTCATCATCTTTCAGAGGTAAAGGCGTAACTGGAATATCCATTGATTTTGGTTTGCTTGTAATTAATGAGGACGCAGGGCAATGGATGCTACAATCACCGTCACGAATGAAGATCTGTTCTTCGTCGTTTTCGAGTTCCCAAACGTCGTGTGAGTAGCGAGAAATGAAAGACTGGACAAAATCAATACCAAAGAATCCCAGAAGATAAATGAAAGAGGCAATGAGGGACAGAATGGCGGCTAGCTCATAGAAAGTAAGGATGTGGAGTGGGGTGGAGGTGCGGATCTTGTCGCGCCACCTGTCGAGCAGGTAGTACGCGACGAAGAAGAAGAGCGTAAAGAAGAAACAATTGGTTATGTTGAGAGGGAGAGGGAGTGCATCAGAAGCCTTCGCGGCGTCGGAGGAAGGAGTCGGACGCTTTTGGTGATGGTTATGAGGAATAGAGGGTTTGAGGGGTCTTCGACAAACGTCCATGGATTATTCCGATGTAAAGAGAGACCAGAGGAAATCGAGCGGAAGAGAGAGAGGAAAACCAAATCAATTTTTCCTCCTCTCCTTCCATTTGTTTGAATTTGACTCTTTAATTTATGGGGGAGCTTGTTAAAAAAAAAGCCTTTTCAAATAATGTATTTGATTAAATGACATCATTTCAATGTTTGTTGATATATAATAGATTTCAGTTGCAAAATAAAATAAACAAATAATATCAAAAGTCCAAAATGCTTTCATCATGAAAAAAACTCAAATACCCTTTTCAATTCATTCAAATTCCTCATTTCATTTCCAAAAATCATCGTCTTACTCTCCTTGCACTTGCTATTGTAAATTCTTGTTATTCATTACTTCACTCATCTTCTTCGATATTTTGAGTATTTGAACAAAAAATTTTATTTTTATACCATTTATATTGAAATCTCTATTATATTTGAAAATAAAAAAAAAGGTATTTTTAGAAATATCGTGCACATTGATACTTTTATTGTTGAATATATTATGAAATGATAATTTGGTTGATATTTTTTTTAACGACGCTACAGTTGTTATCATCCATGTAAAATGACAGTACAACCATAAGTGTAATAGGTGTTTGAAAACTAAGCATAACCACATCACTTGTACAAATTTGTACCACTCAGTGAGAGACGTGAATGATAAAGACAAAACGACACATCTCCTAGTTTTTGTAGTTTATGATGTGCTTTTGTAATATTGAAAAATGATGGTGGTGTTATGACGTTCTACTTTTGTTATTTTGAAATGCAAACTACTTATAATGTTTGGAACAATTGATTTTGTCATCATCTTAGAATCGATGAAACCATAACGACGGATATAAGGTTATTTTGTTATTATAAAATTATCATTGGTGTCATTTTAAATATTTCACCTAAAACATATAGAAATGATGTTCAAAAGTTAAATATTATTGATTTAATAGCAACTAATTTCAAAGTATATATGGTATCAATTATTCATATCGTTTTTATATACGTAATGATACTTGTGCTGTTTTGATGATAGTAACGACACTTGTGCTGTTTTCTTTTTTCATGCTGACTAAGTAACGAGCGTATCTCTCAAATTTTGTAAGTGCCATATCCATCTTACAACTTAAATGAGTTCAAATTATCGATCATCGAAACTTGAACGAGTCGTAGGTACTCATACTTATGTTTATAAACGAAAAAACAATCGTGTCATTTAACGGCACCTTTGTCGTTAGGTTGACTTCTCTAATATTTTACTCATTTTTCATCAAAACAACGTCAAGCATTGGACATTTGGACTCCCTAACTTAAGATAAGTCAAAAATGTTAGTTATGTGACAAATATCAAGAGAATTGACATAAATTGTATGGTATCGAGTTAGAAAAATCATAAGGCATTATCTACATTCGTTAGAAAATATAATTAATGAGCATCTCTCAAATTTTGTAAATGTCATACCCATCTTGCAACTTAAATGAGTTTAACTTATTGATTATCGAAGCTCGAATAGGTCGTGGGTACTCATACTCGTATTTGAAGACAGAATGACACACGTGTTGTTTAACGACACTTTTGTCATTATGTTGATTTCTCCAATATTTTGCTTCGTTTTCACCGCAACGATTTCGAACATTAGACTCCTTAACTTAAGAAAGTCGAAAATATTAGTTATGTGACAAATATCGATAGAATTGACATAAATTATATAATATCTAGTGGGAGAAATCACAAGGCATTATTTGTATTAGTTAGAAAATATAATTAATGAGCATATCTCTCAAATTTTGTAAACGTCATATCCATCTTGAAATTTAAATGAGTTCAATTTATCGATTATCGAGACTTAAACGGGTCGTGGGTGCTCATACTCGTGTTTATAAACAGAATGGCATACGTTTTGTTTAACAGCACTTTGTTGTTATGTTGATTTCTGAATATTTTACTTCGTTTTCACCATAATGACATCAAGCATTGGACTCCATAACTTAAAAAAGTTGAAAATATTAGTCATGTGACAAATATTATAGAATTGACATAGATTTTATGATATCAAGTTGGAGAAATCATAAGTTATTATCTACATTCGTTATAAAATATAATTAATAAGCATCTCTCAAATTTTGTAAATGTCATCTCCATCTAGCAACTTAAATGAGTTCAACTTATCGATTATCGAGGCATGAATGGGTCGTATGTACTCATACTCGTGTTTATAAACAGAACAGCCCACATGTTGTTTAACGGCACTTTTGTCGTTATGTTGATTTCTTCAATATTTTACTTCGCTTTCACCATAACGACCTCAAACATTGGATTTCCTAACTTAAGAAGGTAAAAAATGTTAGTTATATAACAAATATCGATAAAATTGACATAGATTGTATCATATAGAGTTGGAGAAATCACAAGGTATAATCTTCATTCGTTAGAAAATATAATTAATGAGCATCTCTCGAATTTTGCGAACGCCATGTCGATCTTGCAACTTAGATGAGTTCAATTTATTGATTATCGAGGCTTGGCTGGGTCGTGAATGCTCATACTCGTGTTTATAGACTAAACAACATGTCATTTAGCGACACTTGTGCCATTATGATGATTTCTCTAATATTTTGCATTTTTCGCAAAGACATCAAGCATTGGATTCCCAAACTCAAGAAAGTCATAATCTTGATTATGTGACAAATAACGGTAGAATTGACAGAGATTATATGATATCGAGTTGGTGAAATCAAAAGTCATTATCTACATTCGTTAGAAAATATAATTAGTGCGCATATCTCTCAAATTTTGTAAACAGTATGTCATCTTGTAACTTAAATGAGTTCAACTTATCGATTATTGTAACTGGATGGGTCGTGACTGCTTATTCTCTTGCTTATAAACAGAACGGCACAAGTGACGTTTAACTACACTTGTGTCATTTTGATGATTTCTTCAATATTTTGCTTCAATTTTTCACTGCAACAATCTCAAGCATTGGACCCATAACTTAAGAAGGTTGAAAATATTAATTATGTGACAAATATCAGAAGAATTGACATAGATTATATGATATAAGTCATTCATATCACAAGTCATGATCTATATTTATTAATAAATAAATTAATGAGCATATCTGTCAAATTTTATAAATGGCATGTCCATCTTACCATATAAATGAATTTCAGTTGCTCCTCTTGCGCAGTTCTCATGAAAAAGTTTGTATATCGTTATCACATAACTTGTGCAACTGAAATATACACATCTCTCAACTTTTAGAAATGACATGTTATTTTGCAACTGAAATAAGTACAACTTATTGGTTCTCGGAGCATGGATGGGTCATAGCTATGTATACTTGTATTTATAGACAAAATGTCACAAGTGTCGTTTAGCAGCTCTAGTGTCATTCTGTTGATTTTTCAAATATTTTACTTCTTTTCCAACTCAACGATATCAAACATTAAATCCTCTAATGTAAGAAAGTCAAAAAGGTTGATCACGTGATAAAGAATAGTTGAATTGATATATATTATATAATATCGAGTTGGTAAAATCACAAGTCAATGTATTGATATGTTAGAAATATAATTAATGAGCATATTTCTCAACTTTTGTAAATGACATATTCATCTCGTAATTGAAAGAAATTTAACTTATCGATTTTCGAGACTTGGATGGGTTTTGACTGCTTATACTCGAGTTTATAGACGGAACAGCACAAGGGGCGTTTTCATCTCAGTAACGGCACAAGTGCCGTTCTTAATGACCTTTTCATCCTCCAAAAGGTACTTGTGCCATTTTCTTAGAACTTTTCATCTCAATAATGGTAAAAGTGTCGTTTTCGATGACCTTTCATCCTTAAGCATTGTATCCTTAATGTACGCTAGAAAAGTAGATCACGTGACAAAGAACGGTTGAAATAACATAGATTATTTGATATAAAATTGATGAAAGCACAAGTGATTTTATTATTTTCAACAAAATTCAAATAATGAGCATATTTCTCAAATTTTTTAAATGTCTTGTCAACCTTACAACTTAAATGAGTTCAACTTATTATTTCTCGAGGCACGGAAGAGTCATCGTTGTTTAAACTCGTGTTCATATACAGAACGACACAAGTGTTGTTTTATAATCAGTAATGACACTTGAGTTGTTCTGTTGATTTCTCCTTTATTTTCATTTTTTTCTAACGCAACGACCTTTAGAATTGAACATCCTAAGTTGTGTCGTTCTCATATTAATAATAGAAGTTTATAAGCATAACAATACAAGTGTTGTTCTCATAGACAAATAAATTTACAATCATAACGACAGTTGTGTCATTATTGGGAGGGTAGACTGACAATTAATGAGCATATTTATAAATAGAACGATGGAAGGGTCGTTTTCATTCCAGTAATGGCTCTTGTGCCGTTCTATCTATTTTTCTTATATTTTGGTTTTATTCTAGTACACCGATCTTATATATTGGACTCCCTAATGAATTATAAATATTTTCATCTCAGTAATGACATTTGTTCTGTTCTCATGAAAGTTTGTAACAAACATAATAACATTTATATCGTTCTCATCTTCCTCTTACAAGTTCAGTAACGACACTTGTGTCATTCTCATGGATGCTTATATTTCTAATAACGTAACATATGTCATTGTAATGTATAATTGAAATGCAAACATTTATCTTAAAAGATATTAAAAAAAATGTAGAAAAAATCAATAGAACAGTACAAGTATCGTTATTAATATGAAAAATGACCTTTGTGCGATTATGAGGTTGTTTGAGCCCCCCATTTTTTTCTTCAAGAAATTAATTTTGTAATAGTGTTATGACGAAGGATGTATGGTTAAAAAATAAGAAAAAATTTTGAATTTGCGTGTAATATTATCTTATTGAAGAATGCGTGATTAAATTGAGATCAAAATACTGTTTAATAATACATTTTGATGAAAAATGAGGTTCAAACAAGGGTTATATGTGTAGGCATAAGTAAAAGCAGCTACGTCTTATTCATGCCTCGGGAACCAATAGTGGAACTCATTTACGTTATTTATGATATTTTCAAACTTTCTATGTTACATATGTAAGGAGTCCATT